CAAGGCCCCTTTGGACTTCGTTGAGTTACTCATTTCCTAGAAACGTCATAGCAAGCGAGATCGAGAACGTTGTTTGACTTTGTGGCTCATGGCTGGAAAACCCACTGTGATCGTGTCGTCAACTAGCGAGTTAGCCTTCGTCCTGTAGGCAGTGAGTGCAGAGCCAACAGATACAGGCTTAGTTGGCGACTTATGTTTTCCATGCTGGAGGAGTATACTACGAACAGATTCAACATCACTTTCTCCGCTACTTCGATCCGGTAAGCATAACGTGAGATAAGGCTGTTTTGTCTCTCCTGCGCCACTTCAGACAGACGACAGTCGTTCTGGAAGGCATGTGGGTGCTAGATCATATCGTAAACATCCGTAACACGTTCCAGCACCGATTGAATTCCACGACAGCTCTGGTTCTGGGCTTGAGATTCAGCTATCGGTAACATATTGTGCAATCGGATTGATCGGTACGTATGAATCCATCGAATAGCTGGGGGTAGGCGAGTCAGAGATTGACTAAGATAGAGATGAGGACGAGGCGGGCACTGTTTCATGTACATCTTCTTGAATCTGCTCACAACGTGTAGAAAGATGGCAACATTCAATGTCACTTTGCATCACTGCATTTGATACTTTTGAGAATCAGGTGCCGAATTTGGCCTCATAGTACTTTCCCATCTCCCGAAAGGCGCTACGTCCCTCTTATCCGGTCATACACTCCTCATGCGACGAGTGATCAGCTGTGCATGTTGGCTTGAACACCTTTTGATGTTGACAAGTGGAACTAATAATTGTCTTTACGATGCCGAGTAACTTGCAAGGCTTGCTGCCTGACGCTGGTATCATTTTAGCTTTCGATGATTGACATTTGGTCAGCATACCGAAAGCTTCTTTTGTACTTTGAGGTAAGTGCGCCCAATTGAGGAGGCATTTCATGCTGAAATCAGTGCATAAGTGTCGCTATCTTGAGCGCCCTGCAGTGATTCAGAGAATACAATTGTTGCGAAGTGGAAATTTGCCTTATTCCGCAAGTATCGGCGTTCCCTCCGCGGAGCTCAGAAATCATTGGACAAAGGCGAGCTCAAAGGGCGTCCCCCCTCCGGAGAGGCGTCGGAAGAGGACCTGAAGTGATAAACGCAAAGAAAAAGAAACCAACCGCATGATGCAGAACCAGCGCGTGACAAGCGTGACAAGAAACAAAATAGTGGTTCGGTTGGACCGAGCCGACGACAACAGCAAGCCTCTAGAGTATGTTAGGGAGAGAGTCTACGTCATCGGCTGCGGGCTAGTGGAAACAGGAATAGCGCAGGAGCGATCGGTGTGAGCTTGTCTGGGCAGGATTGTGAACATAATCTTCTGTTTGCATGAATGTATTGCTTTCTATAGCATGGGGTATCGATGAATCTCTTTAACGGCATAGATCAAAGCCAACTTTTAGTGAATCGTAATCTTCCGCTTACTTAGAACATTTGTCTGTTCTTCATCTCCACAGGCAAGAAGCACATCAACAGTGCAGATAGCCAGATACCACCAGCACCTAGCCAAAGGATACCAGAACTATTGTCAGCAAGAAGCTGAGCACCCGCATAGGGTGCGACAATTCCTGCAATGCGACCTAGGCACGAAAGCATGCCACTCACACTGCCGCGGTAAACGGTGTCGAAGAGTTCCGGAGCGGATGCATATAGGACGGCATTGAAATACTAAACTTCTATTAGTAAAAATAAAATAACGTTTGGATACCGCACTTACAGTTTGCATGATATATTCCAAAGCGTTCAAACCCACATAAGCCGCAGTGTTAGACACCTGGGTGTACATGGCCATAGAAACACCCTGGCAGAGAGCGGAGAAGACCAGAGACCATTTTCGGCCAACAAGAGGCAACTGGATAGATGCAAGAGCGAGGATAGCACCAATAATTCCGGGGAAGTAGATGATGAGGTACTGCTGATATGTGTCGCTCACGGTTCCCCGACCCTCGTCGACATTGTTGCGTAACAGGATAAGTGGAAGGAAGCTACCCGCAAGATTGAAGGACCAGTAGTCGCCCTAACCGTTGTTAGCAAATACCAGAATTTCTACGAGTGATGATGCTTACCATGTATGTGATCGCAAGTAAGACGAAAATAAAGGCGGATAGTTTGTTAGTAAAGATACCCTTGAGGCGAGTCAATTCTTTTCCAAATCCGCTAACGACCTTCTTGGTAGTGGTCTTGGTGTCTTGAGGGCCTTCTTCTGACACTCGTACGCTTGATGTAGCATTGGAAGAAGCATCATCTATGGCGGCGAACATCTCCATGGTCAACGTCGGGGCCGGTTGTTTGTTGAACTTTGCAATCTTGTGCAAAACATCGAGAGCCTCTTGCTCTTTTCCTCTCGCAAGCAAGAACTTGGGCGACTCATGGAAAGTGAAGACGAAGTAGCGGAGGAAGAACACTGCCAACGTCATGCATCCAAGAACGATGACAGTGTAGCGCCATCCCATGTTGCTGTCAACTGTACAGCAGGCTTCTCCAGAATTGACGCTGGGGCAAGCTGGCAAATCGGGATCACAGCGCCATTTGGCTTGACCGGTGGTGCCGTAGGCGATGCAAGATGCAATAGCAACACCGATTGGTTGCCACATGGAAAGAAGGGCGACAAGGAAACGTCGATTATGAGGTAGAAACTCAAGTGCTATGGTTGCATCAATCGGGATGTTGCCTCCGAGACCAAGGGACGCAAGGAAGTAGATAGCGCATATCGCACCATAATTGTACTTGGGGGCAGCCTGGTTACTGGTCAGTTTTTGATTGCAAAAAAGGTGGTTTTTGTTCGCATACCAGCAACAGCCCAAATATTGAAGTGATAAGGCAAGTGAGGTTGAAAGCCCATTTACGACCAATAATATCGACGGCAAGGCCAAAGCCAAGCGCACCAACAGCCAGTCCTGCGTTGGCAATTGCAAAGATGTCTCCAGTGTGTGCATCAGAGACTCCCATCTGTGGATACTTTAGCACGCGTTACCTGCTTGATGTTGCACAACTCACCTCCTGGTAGATGGCTGAAGCAATCAGACCGACACCTTGTGACCATGCGAGATCAAGAAAGTATCCAAAGCCACAGAGGAACCAGATGCATATTTGGTACTTTCCCATTCCGAACTTGTCAAGTTCAACATTGATCAAAGCGGCCTTCTTCTCGAAGGTATTGAGCGGGTTTGCGGCAGTGCCTTTGAGAATTGCAGCAAAGGACAAGTCGGTTTGGTCGACACGTTCTACGTCGTTGTAGATTGGAATCTCGACTTGAGGGCGCGCTTTCTCTGGGTGCTCGACAGGTATCTTCTCGGTCTCGGGAACCTCGATTGGTATCTTCTCATCATCGCTGAGGTGCGCTTTGCTGCGCTCCGACAGATTGGCGTCCATCTCGGTGGCGAGTGAGCGAGAGGTAAGGTGCAGGGTATTGTCAGATGACCTCACGTAGATTGAGTAAAGAGTGGTCGCCTCGTGGTAATGGCAGGTTACAGGACCGGTACAGTGGGACGAGGTATTATACATATGCGCGGGGAACACCCAGCCCTCTCACGCTACCACCGACTACTCGCGAAAACGGATCTAAGCGATAGAGGCGCTACCATCTAATCGCTGATCTGAGCCTTGTCCGTTCAACGGCCCCCGTCTCCAAGACGGCTGAGGTGCAGCTGATAGCATCTAATTGGTTGCCACCAACTGATGACGACATCGCAAGCGGCCCCGTCGCGCGACCTTGTCTGGCCTTGTCTCTTGCATGGAGCTGTAACTTCGGCATGGCCGTGTAGCTACAAACTCTGAACAGAGCTAACGAGATGCACTAACAGCGTAGGTACGCCAAACACCTGATAGGTTTGCGTCTCCGTGGTAATGCGGTTGTAAGACCCAGGCGGCGACACCAAACCATATGCACTATGCAGTGCCCAGACCAACGTATCCGCTCAAGGCTGAAGGTTACGCAGTCAGCTCAGCTGCCGCGTCAATTTCCAGCACGCTTGTTGCTAATTCTTCTCCACTTTCCTTCACTCCACTTTCACTTATTGCCGTGGAGCTCCAATACTAGTTTTAACATCCACAAAACCGGCGCTGAAACCGAGATCTCGCTTTTTGCCATAGTCTAGCCTCTCCATTTTTCCAAGATCTTGAGTTCATGATCAGAGGTCTATACCGGACATGGTCTAGCGTCAAGCCAGACAACGCCACCAAGCAGTACTTGCGTGGCCCGCTTCGGCTATCTGGCAACCGTCTTCACGTCACGATCAATGGGTTTTTTCATCGTATCCACTACTAGGGAAGCGCACTTGATACAGCTGTCTCAAAGTAGAACGTACGCCTGTTCAGACTTTGTTGCATTGATACAAGTTACTACAAAGATAGGGACCATGAAGGTGTGAGAATCTGGTTAAACATCATTATCTCACATGCTATTTACTCAGATTTCATCTCCCATGTATGTGCCTGTCTACCTTCCTAGTTCTATTATTCGACCCCCTCAACGAGGTTGTCCCTCTTTGGGAGAGAAATGCAAGCGTCCCTTTGCACGACAAGTCCTGATCTGCCAGTCGAAGCGCCTGTCAACGCCTTCCGCAACTGGTTCAAAATCGTAAACTCGGTACGGAGCTTTACAGCATACACAGCAACCTTGTAGAAGCCTTAAAGATTGAAGTACCCGCTGAAACACAACCCCATAACGCTGCAATCGAGTATGATTATAAGAACATTGACAGCGATGAGATTCCGAAGATTGGTACGCGTAGTATGGCGGCAGTTGCCAAGAAGCTCCATATTCTTGAGGTATGTGGCCGTTTCGCAGATGTAGAGAATGCTGATAAGGGTCTGCAAAAGTGAAAATACCAAGTCAGTGTGTGTCTCACATGCATTTTGGTACAGGCAGAACTTACCTCTTGGACGAAGAACGCGGAGACTTGCACTTTGTCCCAGGTAACATTGGCGTGGTGAAGTCGTGCTGTGAATTTTGGGTGACGCTATGATCGATTAGTATGGCACAGTTGCTTGCGACGAACGACGTGCAGCAATCATTCCGAGCAAAACTGTGGTGAGGCCAAATATGACCGAGTCAATTAGGATCATGTAGAGGACATAGCGTCCGACTTGCGTGTTCCTCAGTACGAGGTTGAGGCGAGAGTAAAGGACAAGTGACTGAGCGACCACATATGTCAACCACGCCAGCTCAACGACGATAGATGAGTATGCTTCCCATATGTGGAAGTTGAGTAAGAGGATCGCGATGCCATGAACGATGAGACCCCAGCTGCACAGTAGGCAACTCCAGAAGTACAAGCTGCGGCTTGTGGTCCTGGCGAGCAGGCGAACGTTGAGCTCGATGCAGAGGTACAACGCGACTCCCAAAAACGCTGCTGCGGTCATGGAGGACGGAAGGCCGCCAAATTCAGTTACTGCTGCGTGGATAACGTCTTCTGAGGTTGTGGACATGATGGCGAGCTTGAAGAAGATGTGCGTGGATTAGGTATGCAATATGCACCAGAGAGTCGAGTTTGCTGGTCTGAGCGAGATAAACGAGAGCTGATGGAAGGGTGGACTGGTGTGAAGAAAAGATTGAGTCGACGAACGAGGTTTCGCGGACCGTGCTTTCCTCAATCATCTTCATCTTCACCGTGACTACCACTTTGGACTTGACACCAACGAGGCGATGGTGCATGCGAGCACGTCGTACCTACCGAGCAGTCTGTTCTACCTAAGTTCTCTCTTATAGCACGGCAGAATGTTATGAATTTGTGCTGCTGTCCGGCAAGCAACATGGTGAAGTAACCATTGTCGAAAAGCAGAAATATTGAATGAGGTGATAAATTTTGAGATCTACCTGTTTTCTAGGTGCAACGGGTGACGAAGCATCGTACCAGCCATCATTACGCTGTGAAGATCATATGTTTTCGTGTTTCATACCTGAACGGCTCACTTCCCTGCATGTGTGTTGATCCCAGCGACGTTCTCCTGTCTGCTCAAGATCTTCTTAGGTCCCCAAGTACCAGCTCTACCACCAGGGTCAACACGATCCTTCTTGGGACTCATCCTCTCACCACCCCCAACCCCTCCACCGATCTCGTTGATATTCTTGGGAGCAGTAGCCATCTTGAGGGTGGACAGAGAATTCAATGGTATCGCGGGAGTGCTTGCAGAGCCACTACCACCGCCGCATCTCTTGCTCTTGGGCTTCTTTCCAACTGAAGTCTCAATCCAAGCACCTCCCTCCTTCTTAGCCCTGCGCTCAGCCTCTTCTTTTTCGCGCTTCATACGCTGCTCTGCCTCTCGCTCTCTTGCCGCCCTGTCACGAGCCTCACGTCGAACACGTTCCTCCTTGGCCCGCAATTCTGCTGCCTGCTTCTCTCTCATGACACGCTCACGAGCTTCGTAGGCTTTGGCAAACTCGTGTTGCTCGAATCGGATCTGAGCTTCGGCCTCGATTCGGGCCTCAAGCTTGATGCAAGGGTAGCAAGGGAAGTGCGACGGACGGGGCTTGTCGTCTTCGCTGATGTCGGGACACACTGTGTTGGATAGAAAGCCTGTGCGGCACATTTCGATGTAGGGGCGGTCAGAGAGGTGGTTGCATGTGTGCAACTTCTTCCAGTAGAGACACATGTTAGACAGATCTAGACACAGTCAGCGACTTGTGGGAGATACGAGTTTTGGATGCACTCACGTCCTCAAGGCGTAACTCCAGATTAAGACGAGCGGGTGCTGGTACTTTGAGGGATACTGGAAGAAAGGAAAGCAGGTAAGGGCGGGATAGTTGTCACTGTAGACCCCAAGATGGTTGGCAAGTCACGCCAGTGAGGTGAGAGAAGGTTGTTGAGTAGCCCATGCTTCGTGAAGGTGGCTTGTCGCATGTGACTGGCAAGAGCGCCCAAGATAGGTGAGGGAAGACGGTAACATGCGAGGGAGGAGCGGTCCTGGCTCAACTGGGAAGGCAATAACAGAGCTCAGGCACTAAACGGCAACTAGACAACGACGAGTTCTGGTGCATGGCTAAGGCCAGCGGTACGAGATACTGAAACTATAAAGGGTATATCCATCGCATTATGCGGACCGCCAGCAATTTGGTGTGCATCTGTACACACGCCTAGCGTATCCTACCTACCCTGAAACATGCGCAAGACAGCATATCGCACCCAAGCGATGCCGCCAAAAATGGCCCTAGAAGTACACAGAGAGTGGTGGAGAAGGACGCAAAGACATCTACGCCTTCATCTTTCGTCGCATCTCAGGGCGGGCGCCACGGTGCTCGACCTCGGTGATGCGGCTACCGCCTATCTCCTTGATCTTGGCCACAAGGGTATCGGTCTGATCGAGCTCTTCAATATCGTCGCCACCTCCGATGCTCTTGCCCATCAGTAGAATGTTGGGCACTGTCCGCCGACCTGTAGACTTGTGTAGGAATGCTTGTAGTTGTTGGCCTATGGGGCTTTGATCGAGCTCAACGACGTAGGGTTCGGGTTTGATGTTGTATCTTTCGAGGAGAATGTGTTTCGCTTTCTTCGAGTAAGGGCAGTAGGATTTGGAGAAGATGATCACTGTGGTTGGTTAGTGACTACGCGTGGGATAGGGGTAATGCAGGAGTAGCGTACTTGGGCTCTTCTTCAGGATGGCATTGAGCTCCATCTCAACTTCATGGTCTTCGAGTGTCTCATTCTCCTTCATCGCTGCTTGGTCGTGCGGTCTACCGCCCTGTTGCGCGACGCCAGGAACTTTGTCGCCATCCATCTTGACTCTGCCCGCGACGCTCTTCTGGTCTTGACCCTCAACTTGGACCTTGTGGTCTGCGTATTTGTTCTCGGCGTTCTTCTTAGCCTGATCCTCGGCAGCTTTGAGTCGCGATCCGACGCTCTCTGCGTCGCGTTGCTTGGCCGCTTCTGCGTATTCTTTCTCTTGTAAGGCTTGTTGCGTCTTTGTATAGAAATCCGATGATTGTGTTTGATGTGCTGCTCTTGACATGTAGAAGAGGACAACAATTGTGGTGACGATGAGGATGCCAAAGAACTTCATGCGACGTTGTGAGGGCATGATGGCGATGTGTGTACGGGTTAGATATGTGTCGTTTGGTGAGCGGGCTCGTTCGTGCTCAGAACTTGCTAAGCTGATGTATAGCTCGAATGCTGTCAAGTACCAATGGCGCCGATAGCATGTAGTCTCGGGTATATGGGTTGATGAGGTGGTGCTGGTAGAATCCGAGGCTCGAAACAGTTTCCCAGGCTGCAAGTGTCGCACGAGCAGCGGATTAGCGAGCGCGGGCGTACAGACGCGTACTATCGATTGGACGTTTATGATACGTGCGGCATAATCCTGTAAGTAGACGTGTACAGAAAAGAGGTACACAATAACTGCTGTTGTCGTTGAGGCAGTGCGATGGTTTAGAGTGTGTTGGAGGGTTGGTGGGCCCTTTGGAAACAATGTGGAGAGATGGTGGCCCTGGCTCCTGCTTTGGTTCGCGTCATGCCGCTTTCCGCACGTCTACTCAACACCATCCTTGTCACCTGCCCGCCTGCCAACGCTGTGATTCGCGACTCTACGCCACGGTGCCTGCCTAAATTCTTCCTTAGTCACGACGAGCCCTGGTTGCGACAGAGTCGCGTTGGCTTCTTCTTTACTCGTGCACTGCCATATGGGCCTCATGTCCGCCTGGAACGCATTACATAAGGTTGCGTCGAGATGTCAAAGTATCGCATCGCATCAGGACAACTTGAACAAGTCCCCTGTTGAAGGCCCCCATATTAACTTCACAGGCGCACCACTACAGAAGGCTCAAATGTTATGCTGTGCCCCCTCTGACCATCCATCCCTGACCGGCTGCGCTATCGAAATGCGCCCGATGCTCCGTCGGAGCGTGACAGCGCGTTGAACTCAGAGGCCTCAGGGTTCGAGACCACGAAAGTCGGATCTTCTACTCTATGAAAGCACACATCTGTTGCTTGCCGACTTGGTCTAAGAGCTACCTTATGCTCTACCAGATTCTACTCGAAGTATAGAGTAAGCTCCCCGCATCGTGGGTCTCACGAGGACATGCAGGCTGCGGCCAGGTTCTCCACAAACACGGCTGCAGTGCTGTACTGAGTTTAGCGCCTAGCCATACCGCTTTCGTACATTCCGCTATTCACTCCAGAGTGTGATGCTTATAAGATATAAATTCGACAAGTAGTTGCATCTCCTAATCTAGCATCGGAGTACATCAGCAGATCACACTTTTCCTTACAGCTCTACGCATTGGATCATTGCATCATCTGCCAGCCCACTATGTCTCTACCGACTCCGCACCTCTCATCGACGCCCATATCCATCGTACCCTCAGCGTCCGAAGTAAAGGCCGGGAGGCTCAACCAACGCAATCTTGAGATCGCGATTAGAGCGCTCTCTCGAGATGGCCTTGTGGTGCTGGAAGACATGGTTGATCATGCAGTCTTGGACCGGCTGAATAAGAAAATGGTCCAAGATGCACTCGAACTGCAGGCAAGGAAGGACAGTCCCTTCAACTACAATAAAGGCAATATTCAGCAAGACCCTCCTATGACCAATGAGTGGTTCAGCGATGAAATCTACATCAGTAAGTGTTCAGTTCGGCTAGTTTTCCGACCGTCCGAACGCATACTAATGACAGATCACAGACCCGATTGTCACACAAGTCACTTCAACCACACTCGGTCCCGGACCTTCGTTGCGCTTCATGTCCGGAAACACTGCCCTGCCACCTACTGCTTCATCGCCGCCAGCTTCTCAACCGACCCACAATGACGCAGACTTCGATCACCCCTCAATTCCCTTCGCTCTCGTGGTAAATGTTCCTCTCGTAACAATGACACCAGAGAATGGGTCGACGGAAATCTGGCTCGGCACACATCAAGGAACCACTATTGCCGACCAAGAGGGTGAACACGGCGATCGTGCTAGCGGAAGGATCAAGCAGCATCTCCTTAACGCTCGCCGCGAAGTCCGACCACCATCTCAGCCAGTTGTTAAGAAAGGTAGTATTGTCGTTCGCGACCTTCGGCTTTGGCATGGAGGAAAGCCCAACCTTGGTCAAGACCCGAGAGTTATGCTTGCAATGAGTAAGTCAACGCTGCCGTTGTGTCTTCTACGTACCTGAACTTTTGCAGTACACTTCGCGCCATGGTACAGGAACTCGATGCAAGTCGAGTTTGCTGAAGAGCTTGCCGATCGGTTGTCCTATGAAAAGACGGGTTTGCAGATCGCTGCCACTTACGTGTCTAGTGAGCATCTGCTTAAGAGTTACCTAAACAGGCCTTACGGCAACGCGTACGATTTCGATCAGACCGAGAAAATTGAGGGCATATTCTGAGGTGAGCTTGGCCGCTGCTGATCACTATCTCTACGTCTGTTCAGTCACCAGAATTGCAACGTACTATTGTCATTACCTAGATATAGCAATATTCACACTCCGCTCCGCTCACTTGGCATTTCAAATTCACATATATGATACCCCATGCTTTTGCAGGATATCACCCGTGCAGCTAGAGGTGTGTCAGCACCACCGCCAAGAAACTATATGCGCGCATAGCTGGAGTCAATTTCTCATTGGCAGGGCGGCTTACGCGAAGTGCTCAGTAAGCTTCCATAGCACGTCAATCAAAGCACACGCTGAAGCTTGGCGGCCACTGAGCGAACATCAACATCAGCATCAGATCATTTCACCCTGTGTTCTCTTTCTCTAGTCTTGATTTTTTGTTCATTCTCCTGGTGATACTTCACCTTGTTTCCGCGGTTGTCGACCAATCTGGTCGAATTTATCCTTAGTTACTGCAAAGCCCCATCAATCCCACTCGACCATGTACGTCTTACCGGACATTCAGGATATTCATGTCACAATGACACAACCAATCGTCGAAGTAAATGCCGGGGATGCCACCAGTGGTTTCAAAACAGCATTAGCAGTAGAGGTACCGTTGATGGTCTTGGCTTTGAGCACCGTCATCCTGAGAGTGTACTCAAGACTAGCGATTAAGAGGAAGATCGCACCTGATGATGTTCTAATTATGTTGGGCACGGTATGTAAGGGACTAAACTAGCCCGTCGCTCTGTACAGCCCATGCCTGACCGAAGCTGACCACGACCAGGCCGCGGCTGTCGCACGAACCGTGATATCTTGTATGAGTGCGGACGACAACTGGGGCTACGACCGAAAGGGGTGCGCATGGGTTGCATCGAATAATAGGATCTGTGCTAATCATTATGCTAGTCCCGATAAAACATCGGAAATTCCATTTTATCAAGTGCGTCATTCCCCTGGTGCATCATAACATGCTAACATGTGTTAGCACATCTTCGAGCGCCGTGTTGCGTACATCTTCGCTGTCACATTCACGCGGTTCTCGGTTTTGGCTTACTACCTTCGAATCTTCCCACCGGGAATGGCATCGCTCCGAAGATGCTGTTACATTCTTCTCTTCCTGGCGCTTGCGCATTTTATCGAAGTACTCACCGTCCTCATAGTCTTGTGCGAAGACATTAGCAAGCTATGGACCAAGAACTGGCTCGACTTCACTGGATCACAGTGCTTCAGCTCCGCG